TTACCTTACAAAGGACAACCTATTGTGAAAACAGCAAGAAACACCTCCTTGTACAGAGCAGCGCAATTTGAACCCATATTGTTTTACAGTTCACTTCATGAAAGGGGGGGAGGGATAGAAAATACTAAAGTATTCTCTGTATCATCAGAATGCAGTCCATCCATTTTTTAAAGAGCAAGAGGAACATTCTAATTCCTTCTGCTAAAGAAATTTAAATTGCTGGTGGGGACAGGTGCAACAGGATCTTCTCAGTGATGGCTCCACCTCTGTTGGATACTCGCCTAAAGAGCTCTGCCTAAACATGAGGATCCAGACACTCCAAGAAAGCCTCTTTTTGGAAAGCTTTTATTATTTTGTTCTGCTTTCTTGAGCTTGGTATATTCAAATTTTATCTTAGCCTACACGCATTATGATGAAAAGTAGGGTTATGATGGTAGTATATTCTGTTTACTGATGATTGTCAGCTACTTTTGGGTTTGGGGAAAATAGGGTAGAATTTTTTAAACTGAAGGTAAAACTAAAAGTTCAATGGGACTTAGTCCCAGGTAAGAATGTAGAGGATTGCAGTCTAAATGATGTAATTTGCCATGAATGTTAACCAAGTTCTAGCATCCTGGATGTATGTGATTCAGAAAAGAAAATGCTCTAAATTTGAAGAGATCTCAGCTTGGATAAGCATCGTTTCAAACAGCATTTTGATAAATTATTATTTATCTCTTTCTCATAAATCTCCAGACGTGTCACTTGTGAAAATGACTTATGTCGAGTGCTCAAAGGAAAGAAAATGAGAGAAATTGCAAGGTGGAAATGGCTTTAAAGATGTAAAGTAGGAATCCTATTTTGAAAAGTTTTAGAGAGGATTGAGGGAAAATGTATTCCTTGGGGTGGAAATGCCACACAGCATAAGCCCAGACCTATAGCTGTTGTGCAGCATGTTCCCTAACAGGAGAAGATGCATACATCCCCGAAACACAATTTTTAAAGTTCACTGCCAGAGGGAACACACAATTTTCTGAGAGTAAACTGTGCTTGTTGTATACCACTTGCAACTACGATTTCGGTTTTAAACAGTGCCATTGACAGGACCATGCAAATGGTCCTCTGTAGTTGTGGAGGAGGTTGTAAACCCTCCCATAATTCAGAAATGCTGACATAGATATATTTGGGCAGGTGTATGAAGTGTTACACAGATAAACAAGTGAAGCTTCTAACGTGAAGTGAGTGAATATTGTTCCATCCCCTTGGTACGAATCTTCACTGTATGGGTTTTGATTCTCAAATAGGAGATATTTAACATCAGCGATAGATTCAGGTAGGTAGCCGTGTTGGTCTGACGCAGTCAAAATAAATAAAAAAAATAAAAATTTGTCCGGTAGCACCTTAGGTAAAGGTAAAGGGTAAAGGGACCCCTGACCATTAAGTCCAGTTGTGGACGAATCTGAGGTTGCGGCGCTCATCTCAGTTTGCTGGCCGAGGGAGCTGGCGGTTGTCTGCAGACAGCTTCAGGGTCATGTGGCCAGCATGACTAAGCCACTTCTGGTGAACCAGAGCAGCACACGGAAATGCCGTTTACCTTCCTGCCGGAGTGGTACCTATTTATCTACTTGCACTTTGACGTGCTTTTGAACTGCTAGGTTGGCAGGAGCAGGGACCGAGCAATGGGAGCTCACCCTGTCATGGGGATTCGAACCGTCAACCTTCTGATCGGCAAGTCCTAGGCTCTGTGGTTTAGACCACAGCACCACCCGCGTCCCCTTGGTATGAACCTTCACTGTATGGGTTTCCATTCTCAAATAGAAGATATTTAACATCAGTGATAGATTCAGGTAGGTAACCGTGTTGTTCTGACACAGTCAAAATAAATTAAAAAATCAAAAAATTGTCCAGTAGCACCTTAGAGGCCAACTAATTTTGTTCTGGGTATAAGCTTTCATGTGCATGGTCTCTGAAGAAGTATCTGAAGAAGTGTGCATGCACACAAAAGCTTATACCCAGAACAAACTTAGTTGGTCTCTAAGGTGCTACTGGACAATTTTTTAATTTATTTCATCAGCGATAGAATCTCAGTTATCTAGTTGTGAACATTAAATGCAGAATCACATTGGCTACTGGGTGTCATGGGATTTGGGGAACATCAATATAATTCAGCACTAACATTCGTCAAGCTCAGCTGGGGTTGATCAATTATCTACTCCAGCTTCTAAAACATTAATGTTCAACATAAAATTGACTCTACTGCTGTGCCTCCAGCCTCTAAGTTCTTTTGTTAGCCTTTCCCAATTCCTTCCTAATTTTCTTTTGTCCTCCTGCTCTCCATATTTAGATAGTAAGCTTTCTGGAGCAGAGACAATCTTCTTCAGCTTCCATTTCATGATGTATGTTAATGCTGCTTTATGGAAAATCATAATAATATGTAGTATTAATGTTGAGAGTTTGTATTATAGATCATCAATTGAGGATGCAATCCCATACCTATTGAACACAATGTGACTTGGCTTCTGAATAGACACACCTAGGATTGCACTGTGAATCACCGTTCAGCCTAGTGAGTGAATTGGTTAGAATTAGCCTGGTTTAATATTTTAGCCAGATACGTTTTAGTGTTGAGTCTGTCCATATCTTTCATTGTTGCAGAGCTACTCCATCATGCTTCTCCTCATCCCACTTGCTTTAGAAAAGAGAGCAAGATGGCCTCTAATGTATCTGTTTTCTTTATCTTCCACATTTATTATTACATTGCAGTAATATATCAAAGAAAGGACAAAATCAAAGCATAAATCGTATCTCTGCTGAAAAATGAGTCTCACTGCCTCGATGATTAAGTTTGTTCAGGGTTGTTAAAACTGGAAAGAGATCGCTAACATTCTGTTTTTCTTGGGTTTCATTTCTTCTTGTGAAAGTCAGGCCAAACAAGTACTTAGTTTAATTTTTCTTTTGATTTCTTCTAATTTACTGCTTTTCTGGCACAGCGCTGCAATATATTGATTGCCAACACAGCAGATTTATTTTTTCATTTCCCCCTGGAAAGTTAATATTTTATGGAAGTGTTTCTATTGGCCTTGGGCTTGATTTATTTTTTTTTCAAAAACTAATTTTGGATATATATTTTACCTAACTATATCAGCTTGAGCAAAATCAGTGCTGCTGTGTCTCTATTGCAGTGCTAACCATCTGATCTGCCCTTTTTACCGAGGCTGCTTTAAATGGTCGTTTTAAATTGGATCAATCTGTATATAATTTAATGGTAAAGATAGCATGCTGTATCTTTTTCATCACTTTTTGGAAGGTAGGTGGTCAGAAGTGTTCATTTATGCACACCATTATGTCCATATATACATTGCATTTAAATTTAATTTGCATTGCATATCCTTTCTTTTTACACAAGCAGGATAATTCTGAATATTGGTGTCCAGTACTGGATTGAAATGGGACCAATGAGCTGGTTATACCACAACAATTAGATACAACAAGGACACTTAAAGTAGTATCCAGCTAACTTGCTCCATCAGCCCAAGAATTTAAACTTGTTCAACTGAACTTCCCTCTTCTCCTGCTCTGAAGGGTTGGAGTTAGTATAGATTTGGGGCACACAGATTTAGAAGTATATTTTACAACATGACCCCTAAGGATTTAAGAGAAGAAGGAATGGTGTGCCCCTTGTCTCTGGGAATCAGCAACAGTCCTCCTTGTGGGATATTTAAAGGGCAGTCAAACCAACAATTCATGTTTTGCCAGATAGGCACATGAAAGGTGCTGAAGCTCACAGGAGTTTTCCTGTAAGTTTGCTAGAGAGGACTCTGAGAGAGACACTCCCACTATGCCCTGACAGAGGGAGGGCATAGACACACCTATACCCACACACCCCTACCTGCCTGGGCATATCCTCTCTTTTGTCATGGCAGCAATGTGAGAACATTTGCTATGTCTCAGCTGCAATGCTCAGACAGCATTCCAAACTAGACTAAAGCATAAATTTGTAACTGAATTAGCATTTTAAACCCGACTGAACAAAGCTGCTGTATTTGTTACTCTTCAACAAGTATTCCGAGTGAGTAAATGTTATTTTTACCTTTTACAAGTCTGTGTGATTGTTGTTTTAAGGGGGAGAAAAGAGGGAAATACCAGGAGAATCCAGTCTGCCTTAAAGCATCCTGGCTTACTTAAATGAAAAGGCTAAAACTAGCCTATCTAAACTTCCTTTTAAGCTGCAAGGGGATGCACTCTGCTGAACTTACAAACATGAGGAAGGAAGGATAATATCTAATAAATATATCATCTCCTAGCATCTATTCACATCCCTGTACTATTCTCCTGTTTTTCTCCAGTTTGGTGTCCAGCATTATCAAGAAGCAGGGCTTTTTTTTTCAGCCAGAACTCACTGGAACTCAGTTCTGGCACCTCACAGGTGGGTTCTGGTACCTCTCATGTTGGCGCCATTGTCATTCTAAGAGGGTGAGTTCTGGCACCTCTTTTTCTGGACAAATAGCAGTGTTAAGAAGTATACAGGCTCTGTACATGCAGATTTTGGGGCGGGTGCCAGGGGTCAGCATAGCTGGGCCCTTGCCAAGATCCCAACCAGGCTCTGCGTTCCTGGAGGCCTCCAGCCCCTTTCCCCCTTCTTGACACTGTTCACCTGGCCTTTCTGAGCAAACAAGCAGTGGTAGGAGCCAGGAGAAGGCCTAGCAACTTCCCATCTCCCTCCAGAGAGCTGTGTTTGAAGCCAAAGGGAGAGAAAGGGTGAGAAAATGAGCAGAGTCTCAGTGGTGATGGAAGTGGTGAGATTATATAGGAGGAGGCCCTCTGAGGGACCCTACTCCATCTGCCACCAGCACTTCCAGGTTTTTCCTAGCTCTATATAACTTCCTTTCATTAAACGAAACAAAATGGCATTGGGTTTGAATGACACCCTGGAACTGAGTTGCACTTGTCTCCAGGGAGTAGGCTGTGCCTGGATAAGGGAGGGCAGCTGAATATCTATAGGCAAAACACCTTAAGCTGATCCGAATGGGCACGCCCCATTGTCCTGGCACAGTAGCAGCATGCCCAGTGAGGAGTAGGAGTCTATGGAGATCTCTCCATGGGCACAGGATAAGGATTTGTCATATTGCTATTATTAAAAAATTTGGATCCTGCTTTTCTCTAACTGCAGCAGTTTTTTAATGTTGCAACGATCGCCAGTATTTGCCTTTTCTTTCTCTCCAACTCTGTCTCTCCATTAATTCTTTTACAGCTTTGCTGTTTACATCAGTTTTCCCGCACGGAAAACGGTTCTTTCTCTTCCCGCCGTAAATAATCTGACTCTGGAAGAGTTCCACCACCCTCTCTTGCTTGCAGAACCTTCTCTTGCTGAAGAGCTGTACTTTCTTATGGCAAATTTAACAGCCTCGCTGGCAACGAGCGCTCCACTTAATTTACGTCTTGAAATCCAGGCCTCTGCTGGTTAGCTCCACCAAAGCTGCCTGTCACATCTCATTAGATACAGATTTTATCTTCCATTCACTTGGCTTTTTGGCAGATAGTGTCACGATGGGGATGAGCAGGAATTTGGGAGAATGGCCTATATTGCCCCTAACTTAGTCCAATGCCTCAGATGCAGACCCAGCTTATGAAAGCTTAGTAATATCATTTATTGTACTTCCTTCAAAATTCCACCTACATCTGTAGTTACTTTGGAAGGAAAACAGTCTACGTTGAGAGAACTGCATATCATCTGCTCTCAGGCTTCCCATAGGCATCTGCTTGGCCACCGTGAGAAAAGGATGCTGGACTAGATGAGCCATTGGCCTGATCCAGCAGGGCTGTTCTTATTCTAAAACTCTTCTATAGCACAGACTCGTGCTGATCTCGTCTCACGTGATGCGATTAAATGTACAAGGCTTGCATGCTGACTTCCCTTTACCATTCCTGGAGTGTGAAAATGCCTGCTCTGAAAAATGGCACGGGGCTAAAATTCCATCCTTTTGAAGCAAATGGAATGTGATCACTTGAGAAGAGTAGCAAAGGCTGTCTCTTCTCATTTTAATACCATTTTACAGCTGATTTATTCTGTTATGATTTCCACCCCTGCAGGCAATAGGGGTGTGTGTGTGTGTAGAGAGAGCGAGAGAGAGATAGAGAGAGAGAGAGGTCACAATTAGGAGGATTGGAAATCTGCTTTATATTGAGGCAGACCATCAATCCATCTAGCTCACTGTTGTCCACACTGGCTGGCAACAGCTCTCTATACTTCCATATAGGAGACAAGCCCAGCCTTAACTAGAGATGCCAAAGATTTAATTTGGGACTGTCTCCATGCAAGCAGATGCTCGACCACTGAGCTATGGCCCTTCTCCAGGAAGCTAGATACCCACACATGCATGGGAAACCTTATACCTTAAGCATTAAAATTTAAGGAGAGTTTGATGGCTTTCTACAAATTCATGGTGTGACCATGCTATGTATGATTCTGGTTGCTGTGTCTCCAAAACCAAACCCAAACAAAAAACAGCAGAGCTGGGGAAAATGCAGGAAAAAGGCAACCAAAATGATTAGGAGCAACTCCCACTAGGAGAAAAGGTTGCAGTTTTGAGGGCTTTTTTTAGTGTAGAAAAATAAGACCAGGGGAGATGACGGAGGTAAATAAAAGTGGGTAGAGAGAACTATTTCTCCCTCTCATAATTCTAATATGCAGAGAATGAATCTGAACAGTGGGAGATTTAGGACAAACGTAACAAAGCAAATACCTCACATAAACTCACATAAGCAAATTCCATAATTTGCTTTCACCAGGAACGGCTGCCACTAGATGGCTTTAAAATCAGATTGGACAAATTCATGGAGGGTAAAGGCTATCAGCTGGTACTAGTCAAGCTGGGTATGCCACCTCCTGGCCCAGAGGCAGCTTGCCTCTGAATACCAGTCACTGAGGGGATGGGACAGCAGGAGATTTGTCGCACTCGTGTCTTGCTTGCGGTCTTCCTGGTTTTCCACTGCAGGGAACAGGATGCTGGGCTAGATGGGCCTTTGGTCTGATCCAGCAGGCCGCCTGCTTATGATCTTAAGGTCAACTGCAGAGATTTGCCTGCATATCTAAATAGCACACCAGGACACTGGTGCAAGTTTAGAAGCATCATGGAGAGGTGTACAAGGGGAAAGGTTATCATAGCCATGCTGTTCTGTTAGAGAAAAGTGGCCATTTCTCTAGGTATTTTATTGTAGGTGGGCAGTTGGGGGATATGCTTTATCCTCTTCATCCTGCCCAGCGGCCTTGTACAGTGGTACCTCGGGTTAAGTACTTAATTCGTTCTGGAGGTCCGTACTTAACCTGAAGCTGTTCTTAACCTGAACAGTTTAACTTTAGCTAATGGGGCCTCCCGCTGCTGCTGCACCACCAGAGCATGATTTCTGTTCTCATCCTGAAGCAAAGTTCTTAACCTGAAGCACTATTTCTGGGTTAGCGGAGTCTGTAACCTGAAGCGTATGTAACCTGAAGTGTATGTAACCCAAGGTACCACTGTATTGAAGCTGCTCCTGGCACAATGCAAGACTTTTTGCATTGTGTGAATTCTTATTGTGTCGGTCAAGAGTCTTACTCCAACCTCTCTGCCAACCCTGCATTTGAGGCTCACCATCCACACCCAGCCAAATTAACTCTGCCCCGTGGAGCTTAGGTACAGACCGGTCCCACACGGGTCATGGGAATGTGTCCCATGAGATGCCAATCTGCCCAGGAATTCATCCGACATGACTTTTCTAAGCCACACTTTCGAAGTTTGGAGTGATCAAGAGATGAGAGCACAAAACTGGCTTCTTAAAAATATTGCAGTGGAAGAAGGCCTCTGCTGCACTTGTTGCATTGCATCAGACAATGACTTGTCATAATACTGTTCAAAGAAAGCAATAATTCTCCAATATTGGCATAAGTAACAAATCATTGCGGCGCAGAAGTAGAATACATAATCTGAGGTGAGTATTTTTGACCTCAAGTCAAGTGCTGTGCCTGCAGCTTCCACGGCAGACTAGTTCTTTCCCAATTCAGGGGTGTTTCTTTTTTTCTTTTTTTGGGACTGAAGTAAATTGGGCTTGCCATAATGTGCTATTCAAATAAATCCTTTTTGTGCTTCTTAGCCAATCAGGCAACAGTTGGTGCCTGAATCCCATCCAACTACTTTTTGCTAACTGCCAGAATGTTACTTGTCGTAAGTGCAAAGCGGACATGGTTGCCAGTAAATCTGCCTTCATGCCCTTAAGTCATCTGGTCACCTGCTATATGTTCTGCCAAGCTAATCAGTGCTTGAGAGAAGATACTTTTGAATACAGACAGACTCCAGAAGTCTGTTGCTGTTAGGCATATTAAAGAAGATAAATGGCACATCTGCAAAACTCTGAGGCAGATAAACTGTAGTCTGTTTTCCCTATGCCGGCATGTATAATGAGGCAAGAATGGAAAAAAAGAATTTCAAGGTAACTTTGGGGTTTTTTGGTTTTTTTTTTTTTTTGCTTATATGCCTATCATGATAATGCAAATAATTTCTCTTGCCTCTCTTCTGAAGGTGTTGAACCCAGGTTGTGTGATATGAATAATACTACTTCCATTTCATGATCATTTTATATTTTACCTGGTCCAGCACCTAGCCTTGATGAATGGTTGAATCTTTTTTCCTATTCCCAAACAGATTAATTGCAGTAATTGAAAACCACTGCATATGTTACAGGCAGGATCCTAAGAATTGTTGTGGTGACATAAGGGGCCTGCTTTAGCCCATTGGAATATTTAAGCTTTTTGATTTAGAACAGCATATTTTCAGCTGTTGATTGAGATTAATAGAATGTAATCTTTTGCACATTCACTTAAGAGTAAGTCCAGTTAAACCCAATGAGACATTTCTGGGTAAACATGCATGAAATTGTGCTGTGAATGTTCCTTTGTCACACAGAATGGATTGCATAGTTCTTTGGATCCTGGCCTATAACTAGAAGATACCAATCATAAAGGAACATCTCAGTCCTAAAGATAAAATGTTCAAGCCAAGTGAATGAAAAAAAAAAAGCATTTAAAATTAGAGTAGTCACACCTTCCAGCTACTATTTCTTGTTCATTTCGGGTAATATAATGCTACAACAATGAAATATATAATTTATTTTCTGGGAATTTGGATGGAGTTTGGACTTTTAACCAAAGATCAATTGGTGCTGCCATTTTTGCCTCTAACAGCAGCCAGCCAGACCCCTCTGGGAAGCCATCCCCATTGATTCAACCCAAGATCTAGTAATCAAATTTATAATACCACTGAATCCGTAGATTCCATTTTTAACTGTTGTGATTAATAGTTATTGATCAACTGACCTTCCCCGAATTTGCCTTCCATGTATCTAATGGCCACTGTAACATTCTGTGGAATTACAGTCCATAAGTTAATTATAACTGTGGTTGTCCAGAGCCTCATAACCTAGTTTGGAGAGATCCTTTCTCAGCCTGATGATACAATCCAGAATAACTAGATGCCATTTGCAAATCTGGCTGTCTCACAATTCAGTGCTTGCAGCAGATTGATGTGGTTTTGTCATGAGATGGTTTTAAATGTTTCTGTTTTGGTTTTCATATTTTTCATAAGGCTACTTGCCTGGGGAACATGGGGTGGAGGGAAATAAGTAAAATTGAAACTAGTTAGGGGTGAGACAGTTTTTGGCAGTATTGACAACTGTTGCCAAGGCGATCAGATGATTGGGAAAGTGACAGGGCAGTTAGGCTGGAAAGTGGGGAGGGGGGGAAGAGAAGGAATGGTGTGCTAGTGAGGAAGACAAACGCTGGCAAAGTACATCTTGTGAGGAGAGATGTTGATCAAGTTCTGGGAGTAACACAGAACAAAACAGCAGGGGACAGGACAGCTGTGTGGTGCGGGGAGACCAGGCAGCCGACAGCACCATGGAGCACCACAAGTTTGTTACTTCACAGGAATACCTGGCCAACATAAAGGACTCGACTGGGGTGTGTGTGTAAAGCTGCAGTGTTGGTTCAGTTTACCAGAAAGCTTCACCTGGTGTCTTACAGATAAGTTGCCCCCTCCTAGTGGTGCTGCATAAAAATTGCTGGCACATTTGCAAAGCTAAGCAGAGTCCGGTATGGTTTCAATTGGATGGGGAACCATGTGTTGAGATTCTTGCATTGCAGGGGGTTGGGCTAGATGACCCTCGGGATCCCTTCCAACTCCACAATTCTATGATTCTGTGATCTATGAATGGAACTTATACAGAGAAATGGAAACCGTTTGTTGTTGAAACTCTTTCATACAAGCCTTTGTTAGCTCTAACTGAAGAGTAGAGAATGCCTTTAGAATATGTCTCTATTTTACCACTTCATTTTAGCCTTGGACTTTCCTTCCTGTTTTTGTTCTACAAAGGCAGGATAGTGTAAATTCCTTGACTTATGCTCCTCTGGCTTCTTATGAAAACTGGTTCCTAAGTGCATCAAATTGCTTGCATCACTGGTACCCTTATGTGGCTTGCCATTGACACTGTAATTACACCTAGATTTCCATTGTATGAATAGACATGCATTATGATGCACACTTGTCTCCTCTGTGTTTTCCTTTTAGAGCATATTAGGCACAGATATGTGCCCCTGGATGCCCCCGGGAAATGAAAGGGAATTTCATTGTGCTCGGTGGGTTGTGCTTAGTGTATGAAAATTGAATTGTCTAAGCAGAACTTGTTTTATTGGAGGACATGCACACAGGCTGGTTTCCTTTGTGCTTAGCTCCTACCTATCACTTGTCCTAGGGACGCGGGTGGCGCTGTGGGTAAAAGCCTCAGCGCCTAGGACTTGCCGATTGAAAGGTCGGCGGTTCGAATCCCCGCGGTGGGCTGCGCTCCCGTCGCTCGGTCCCAGCGCCTGCCAACCTAGCAGTTCGAAAGCACCCCCGGGTGCAAGTAGATAAATAGGGATCGCTTACTGGCGGGAAGGTAAACGGCGTTTCCGTGTGCTGCTCTGGTGCCGGTTCGCCAGAGCAGCTTCGTCACTCTGGCCACGTGACCCGGAAGTGTCTGCGGACAGCGCTGGCTCCCGGCCTCTAGAGTGAGATGAGCGCACAACCCTAGAGTCTGTCAAGACTGGCCCGTACGGGCAGGGGTACCTTTACCTTTTTATCACTTGCCCTCTGGAATGAATGTGAATGATATCAGTGTAATTATGCCCATGCACACACAGGGTTTTCATTCTTGACTGTTGTATGGTATAGTGGTTAGAGTGCCTCTCAGCCTAACCCACCTCATAGGGTTGTGCAGGTTAAAGGAGGAGGGGGAAGAACCACTTTGAGCTCCTTAGAGAAAGGGGTATATAAAGGTAAAGGGACCCCTGACCATTAGGTCTAGTCGTGACCGACTCTGGGGTTGCGGCGCTCATCTCGCCTTATTGGCCCAGGGAGCAGGCGTACAGCTTCCGGGTCATGTGGCCAGCATGACTAAGCCGCTTCTGGCGAACCAGAGCAGCGCACGGAAACGCCGTTTACCTTCACGCTGGAGCGGTACCTATTTATCTACTTGCACTTTGACGTGCTTTCGAACTGCTAGGTTGGCAGGAGCAGGGACCGAGCAATGGGAGCTCACCCAGTTGCAGGGATTCGAACCGCCAACCTTCTGATCGGCAATTCCTAGGCTCTGCGGTTTAACCCACAGTGCCACCCACATGCAATCAAATCAATCAATCAATCAATCAATCAGTCTTTTCTTTAAAAATAGTGGAAGACAGGCAGGCGGGGGGGAAAGCCAGTGGTTGGCTGGGGCAGGTGGTCTGGATTGATTGGTGGCCCTTGCAATGAGTTACCTAGACTGAAAGAGAAATACAGTTTTTTGTGGGGGAATAGATATTGCATCAGGCAGTGGCCTGGGGTTGATTTCCCATTGTGAACTGATTCTCAAGACTTGGTAGGATTCTTGGTTGTGCACCTCTCCAGGTAGGACTGGGACAGACCCTTGACTGAATCTCTGGAGAGCTGCTGCCAGCCAGTGTAGACAACATGGTGCTAGATGGACCAATGGTCTGACTTGGTAGAAGATAGCTTCTTACATTCTCATGGAAAATGGGCATCCCTATACAAAGAAACAGCCACTGTGATCCCACCACAAGGTACTTTTTAGAAATGAAAAAGCTGCATCTTTAATTTGCCTCATCTCTGATTAAAATGTTCCCTCGTTGATTAAAATGGACTCCCATCAATTTAATAAACTTGATCTCTAGTCAGTTAATCAGCATGTTAAAGCATGCATTAGCCCTGCTAATAATGTTGGCAACATCTCTGAGTCATTTTGTACAAATAACTAGTCCTGAAAAATATTTCTTATGTTTTAGCACTATACAAATATTCACAGCAGGCTGCATGGTATATATATAATCATAAAATGTTTTTGGAGTTTATTTGATTAAGCTCCATAAGCGCTAAGAGCATTTCCTGCAGACTTAAAAAACAACAACCCTGAGCTCAAAGTAATGTCGTCAGAAGAACCAATTACTCTCATCTTTGTTCCTTCTGCAGCATTTAGATGTCCTGCATTTTTCGAGCGTTGTTCTTGTCAAGTGTTTCATAGAATGCTAGAAATGTGGAGTTGGGACTCTGAGGGTAATCTAGTCCAACCCCCTGCAATGCAGGAATTTCAACTAAAGCGGATGGCCACCCAACCTCTCCGAGAAAGAACAGTCCACCACTTTCCGAGGGAGTCAGTTCCAATGCTGGGCAACCATCCTTTGAAATTTGCATTTTTCTAGTTTTACAATGCAGTTCTCTAATCAGGTTATGTATGCAAAAATGCATATATTAAAGTGTGCATAAAATGCATAGGTTGGTGAGAATAATGTACAGAAATGGATTCTATTAGGGAAAATGGATTCCACAAATATGCATATTAGACAAAATAACAAAGGTGTAAATTAGGAGAAATTCTCCCTAAAATGCTGATGAATTTTGAAAAAAAAAATAATTCACAAGCAGAAGTGGAGAACTGAATTTAAGATTATAAAATTAGAATTTGAGAGAAACAAATATGGACAGATTTCCTTGTCTCTATTCACCTGTGGGAGTGGTTTTGTCTTACTAAGGATGGTCCAGTCCAGTATCACACAGTAAACTCCGCCTGCTCACACATTTTAACTCACAAAACTCTTGTTAGCATCAAATTTTTTGGACAGTCCATTTCAGATGGTTGTAAGGGTTGATTGGCCAGTTCCTCAGTCACTACCCACTCGAATGGTCCGTCTAGCCATTCTGTGGCCACGTATCTCACTTTCTCCACGTCTCTCAGTTCGCCTCTTGGAAAGAGAAGCTACACTAAAGCGGGCACCAGCCAATGTCTCATAATTAAAGGTTATTAATATTAAATGTTTCTGTTCCTGACAGCTTTATTCTAAACATAAAGGGACATTGAATTATTTTTCTTTCAGTGTTGGTACTGGTGGCAAAAGATATTGCTACAGCTTTACAGAGTGGTGGATGCATAAGCAGCACTTCATAACAAACTTTCCTCATGCTTTCAGTAAAGATTTTTTCCCCTGTCCACAGAATGCTCCATCACTTCCTTTTAACTAGACTTCCAGGATTTGACAGCTGAAATGTTGAATGGGTACATCACAAAAACCTAGCCTTAGTCTCCTGTGTATAATTAGTAAACCTCTCCAGTGAGGATGGTCTTCTGAGCTGGCTGTGAAATATTAATTGATCATTTTGTGTGGAGGAGACACGGGATTATAGAAGTTAAACCACAAATTATTTGGAAAAAGTTTCACACACCGCTCTCAAATGGAGCTAATGAAACACACAAGATTAACATGATCAGGATTTCACCAACACCACTGCAGGATACAATTGATATGTCCTTGACCTTCAGAGCTTCCCCTGTTTGCGACCAGGATACCTGAAGGATCACTGGTTCATATATGTGCCTGCCCATGCAGTAAGATCCTAAATTACACAGCCTTCTCTGGGTTCTCTAGCTGTCTGTCAAATACCTACTGGGCTATGTTCAAGGTACTGCCAGCCTTCGTCAACAG